ATATCATTTAGGTAGGCTTCACTATGCCTCTTAACTTTGCTTAATCTTTGGTGCACCTTAATAGCTGACATGTCCCTGCTTGGATCATATTCCACAGCTTACACCCTTCCATTAAGCCTTTCCTTATGTAACTAGCTCTCCCTTCTGGCTTCTCTATCAAGCCTACCCCTGCTAACACAAATTAACATAATATTCCCCCACCCATTTTCTCTACACTTATCAGAAGTTGCCACTTGCCTAAAAGTAATTCATATTCATGAAACTTTCAACTACCCTGGAGTAATGCTAAATCAACCATTAACTCATGCATATTCATTATACTGATTCTACACAATGAACACAAACAACCATTAAATCATGAATATTTATTACGTCACAGAGTGGACCTTATAATGCGTTACACTCACTGTATAGTGCATCATCGTAATAAATATTCATGATTTAATGGTTGTTTGTGTATTGACTACTTATACAGAATTTTACTATATTATAGGCCTAGACTAGGACCAGGCCTCCTACTATAGTAAAGAGGCTTAGTCCAAAACCTTGTTGCAAATCCCAGCCCACATGAGCCTAGCCTATAATGCCTAGCATAGGGCTTGTTTTCGCGGTACCCTGACCATTAAAAATTAGCCCACGTCACGCTTGGCTGACTAGTTTTGATTTACATTTCGCATGTCTTGTGTTGTTGTAAAATGTATTTCAAAACAGTCATGCTTGGCTGGTTTGACATGGACTTTTGCTGCTTATGGCACAGACACACAAATGTAAATCATAACTAGTCAGCCAAGCGTGACGTGGGCCTGTTCCATTAATGATGGGTGAATCATTTTTCGCTGCAGTCCAATGCCGTGAACAACGCTTCCCAGTGCTATTTGAGAATAGGGACCTCTCAGGCGTTGATCCAGAGTTTTCGAGAGCTCGGTTTCCAAGAATCGCTCACCCTATCGCCTACAGTCGTGTCAGTTGTGGTTCACAGACGAATCGGGGTACCTTCCCGATGGCGCAAGGCAGCTAGCAACGCACCCTGATTCGTCTCCGTCTGCAACGCATTCGGAAAAGTTGAACCAGGTTCAACCTTCCCGATAACTGTCGGCAACTGTCGCCGATAGGGTGAGCGATGTGTTCCCTGAGTGGGCGGGGTCATGGGAGGAAAACCTAATGTTTGCTTGTTGGAAGATTATTTTAGACGTGTGGGGGGTGGGGGGAGTGCAGTTAGTCTTGGGGTTCTGCTAGCTTCGCAGAGTTTTGTTTTTTCTAGATGCTGAGAAATGCACTTACGTGCATTACGAGACTTGAATGAATACACACTGAATTAATAGATTTCTCTCATTTTAGCATGAACAATTAATAATTGCGATGATGATGATGATGATGATGATAATGTGATGATGATGATAAGGAGGAGAAGGTATTGTAGCAGGTGACGACAGGCTCCTGTGCAAGGTTAATTAACAGGCCCTTTGATATGAGTGTCAACCGAGGGTCGTATCCCGAGTTCGTCATCACATTTTCAATGCACACAATCGGACAACAGTAATTATCTATAAGTTATATAATC